AAAGTATTCATGGTGCTAATTTACATGGCTGGGATGCGAATTTGAATGCAATAATTACTTTGTTTTCACATTAGAAATCCATTATCGCATTACTAYCCACTTGCCTACATTTCATCAGATTTGATCTCCTATCATGTAGCAAAACCTGATTTTGGAAAGACTTGTGGAGTAAATTCTGTGTTTTATACCCTCTTTCCATTCATTAAGATGGCTTAATCTTTGATTGTGGCATTGTGCCTTTCACATATTGGACTAACATGGGACTTGGGACTAAGAAGGAGGCTTTGGGGTTTTGGAACATTGTAAACCATGGCTTTATTTGTATTTCTATAGGGTGTCTATATTGATCACACCAAGTCTGATTTTACAACTTGGACCCTCAAGTCCTCTGGATCCTTCACTTTTGCATCTTTTTTCAATGGCCTCTCTTTGGACCTTAGCACAGTGCAATTTGTGCTGTTAATGCTATTTAGAGAGTACCAGTGCCACCTTAAGGGTAGTGATTTTTGTTGGGAGGTGTTTCATAATAAAATTAACATTTTTGAGATTCTACATGGGGAGAAGACCTTACTTGGTCCTTTCTCCACATGTTTGTCTATTGTGCAAGGCTAATGGTGAAAACTCTTTCCACTTGTTAATCTCTTGCAATTTTGTGTCTGCTATCTAAAAACACTTCTTTTCTTTGTTTAGTTTTAGGTGGTCTCCTCAAGATGATTTGAAAAGTCTTTTTTGAAGTTTTTTTCTTCTTCCCTACAAAGAAGAGAGGCAAAATTCCTTGGAGATGTATAGGAGTGGTTGTGCTGTTGTGTGTTTGGAAGGAAAAGATATGCATGGCTGTTCAGGGACAAGGAAAGGGGTATTGAGGAAATAATAGATGATATTACAGTTAGGGTAGCACATTGGATGGAGACATCTAACCTATTTGCTCTTTTTTCTTTTAATGATCAGCAGAAATTGGAAGCTGGTGGTTGATTCTGCTCTGATCAACCACATAATTGCTGAATGGTGCCCTTCACCCCTACTCTACTTTAAGCTGAACTTTGATGGTTGCAGTAAAGGCAAACCTGGTGTTTTCAGGGACAGTTGGAATTGGGGACTCACAAAGAGCAGAACTAGCAGCAACTCTGTTAGGTCTAAGAAGGGCACGATCAACGGTAGAAATATCATTGTAAGCAGGATTCAAAGGTTGTCATTGGTGGTTATATCATAATCTGGAGGGCATATGGCACTACAGACACATGGTGAGGGAGATCAGGGAGCTGATTAAGGAGCTAGGAACTAGTTTCAAGTGGGTACCCCTATCAGTTAATAGCTTGGCAGATAGCTGTTAAAGCAAGGGGCAGAGAGAAAATACTTGTTTTGGGATCTGTTATCTGGCAATCGGGGGGCGGGGGGGTTGTAATCTACTAAAATGGGGGTGGGTAGCTGAGACTATCTACGCTGACCATATAAATACGTTATGTATATAATTTGATATTTTTAATAATAAAATTTTGACAGTTACTGAAACAAAAACTTATCTTCTGAATTACTTCTAATTGGAATTATATTTTAGAGACTTTCAAATTTACAATTTGTTGAATGCTTGATTGGGAATTTATGAACTGTTATTTTTGGTGGAACCAATGCTGCATTGACTCTCCTAAAGTCCTAAATGGACAATGCATCTGTATTGGACATTACTTGTTTCAGATTCTATCATTCTGTTATGAACCTTAGGACACTTCTACACATTGTTTTCTTTATTTTTTCAGCTTGCTTGTTTGATACATAATGGCTTCCATCTTTTCAGATTTTCCTATATTATGTTCTAAGGTGGCAAAGAATTTTTTATACATTCATTTTACATGGGTACATAATGTTATAATTGGTATTACAAGTACTTTTCTCGTACATGCCCTGTAATCTTCTTTTCCATTATCTTGATGAGTCAGATTCCCCGATGTGAAACTCCTTTATCCATATCAATGCGAAATTACAATCCTTACAAGTCTAGATCATATTGTTTGGTTTCTAGTGATAGAAAAACATGACAAATTAAAACATTTGAATACTATGCAAAGTTCTTCTCTTTGCATTAGTCAACTTGGTTGATCCTTTTAGTTAATTGGACAATGACAGTTCTGTGGTAGAAATTTTTAGGTAGCAGGACTTGATACTAGGCTTTCCTAATATAGAAAAGAGAAAAAAAAAAACAAAAAACAAAAAACAAAAAAAAGTCCATGTTTATTGTATGGACTGCTTACATGATTGTTTTGTATCTGAATGACAGCATTTTTCTTTGCCTTAGGGTCCAAGTAGTTGGAGGATGCTCTACGGCATGGAAATTAACCAAGAGAAAGGGCTTGTGCTTGTGGCTGACAACTTTGGATATCTTTATTTGTAAGTGTTCTATTTTATTGTTTTCTTCCTCTATGTGTGTGTGTATGTGTGCACATATGCATGTGTTGTGTGCTTGTGCATTTGTATCTATGTGTGCATGTATCCAGGACACTTAACTATAAAAAAGTTGGATATTTGTCCTTGAATTTTTTTACTTATTTATTTTACATATGGTTGCCTTATTGTTTCACTTCATAGACTTATCTGGTGCTTGTCTTTTGCTTTGACTTGTTATTTTCCTCTTTCTATCTGTGTTGAAAATCTAAGTTTTAAACTGCTGTTCAACTTGGAACAATGAATGGGTATAACTTAAGGGGCTATGATATAATTTAATACATGGTTTGTCATTCATCCTTCATCTGCCCAATAACAATGTCTAACGTTGAGAATACTTAGTTAATATCTATTATAACTTAGGCGATTGATGCAGGATAATAAGGGGAAGAAATTCAATCTAACTCAATTTACACATTTGGTTGACTGGGTTTAAGGATATATTGGTTGGGTTTGTATATGGTTAAATTCAAGGTTGATAAAGTTGGTTAATGAATCATGATGGTGTTTTCTACACATTGATTGGCATTGGGTTTCTGTTAAATGGGATTGCGAACCCTATATTTGGCATGGGTTATGTATAAGATTTGCTAAGCACTGTTTGATAGGGAAAGATTAAGGTTTAATTTGTTGATAGTTTGTGGGCTGTTGTTAGGCTTTTAGGGTAGACATATGGCATGAAATGTTATTTAATGGATGGAAATGAGTGATCTATAATAAAAATGTGTAGGGTTGTAGGGTCATGTAATGTTTTAAGTTATAAGACTTGAGGAAGGTTTCGCTGGAGCCAATGGGATATCGTGAGAACCAAGATGAAGGTTTTATTTTTAAGGTTGTTGTGGGTGTAAAAGGAAGGTGCTCCCAAGAGGCCTGATGTTATGCCACAATGGGGCTTTTGGCCTGCTTCCCTAATGGAATGTTCTTATTAGCTCTAATTCATTGAGAAGAGATGAGGCTTCTACTTTATTTGGATAGAGTTGTTCTAGTAGTGAACCACAACATGGAGGTCTTAACAGAGCCAAGCTCTCTTAGCTCTCCCATAGAAGTTCAAACGTAGAACAAAACAAATAAAATTTAATTACAATTGGGCCCAAAAAAAACTTATTGACCCCTTGTTTTACTAAATCACCCCATTGATATTGGGGGTAAAAAACAATTGATTTATTTAAGAGAATGTGTGTGTTGGGATTGGGTGGGTTTTTGGGGATTGTAGCTTTAAGAGATTGTTGCATGAAAGAGATATAGGCCTTGATTCCATTAAGGCATGTATATATGTTTTTGGCAGGAATTGCAATCATACAGAGTCCATTGCAGATACTGAAGTTCATTTTTTGTCGGTGTAAGACAATGGATTCATCATATAAGTGCATTAAGTCGGTTGACCCAATAAGAATCTGGGCTAGACCGGACTAGTGTTTTAAAAGGCATGGGAGGCATACGCCTGGAGGTGCTCCCAAAATGCCCCGATGTCACAGGTGACTCCTTCATCGCGCCATCAAGCACCTACAGTGAGCCATCTGAGTGCCAACCGCGTGCCTTCATGGTGTCAACATGTGTGTCATGGGTGGGCTTTGCTTGTATTTTGTAAGGGGGACCACCAATGGCGTTATTGTAATTACTTAGTATGCTTTTCCATCATTTTGATGTTTCCTATTGTCACTCCCCCAAAAGCTTAACGTACTCTTTGAGGGGAGGTAGGTAGTCGAGTGAGCTCATAAGCGTGTAAAGGTTAAGCACGAGATCCCCTCGACACTGTACTGTGTGCTTGTGCTTACCACTGATTAA